TATCAATACTAACCTTAAATGCAAATGTGCCTCACTTAAAATACATAGAGTGGCAGGCTGGATAAAAAGATAAGACCTAATCATCTGTTGTCCTTTAAGAGACCCATTGCACATGTAATGACACCAATGACTCAAAGTAAAAGGAAGAAGAAATGTTTACCATGCAAATGGAAAACAAAAAAGAGTGGGATTCACTATTCTTATATCAGATAAAACAGACATTATTCCAATAAATATTAAGGACAGTGAAGAACATTACATAAAGATAAAGGGTACAATCCAATAAGAAGCCTTAACTATCATATATATATAAGCACCCAGTCTGGAGTCCCCGGTTTAATTAAGCAAGTTCTTCTTGGCCTAAGAAAAGATTTACCAACCCCACACTAATAGGGGAGAATTCAATACCCCACTGAGAGTGTTAAACAGATTATCAAGGGAGAAAACCAACAAAGAAACTCTGGAAAAAGTCAACTCTTCACCAGTTGGACCTAATAGACATCTACAAAACACTCCACCCAACAACCACAGAATATATATTTTTCTCATCTGCACACGGAACATGATCTAAGGTTGACCACATACTCAGTCATAAAGCCAGTCTCAATAAATTGAAAGAATTGAAATCATACCATGCACACTCTCAGACCACAGTGCAATAAAAACAGAAATCAATATCAAAATAATCTCTCAAAACCACCCAAATACATGTTGGTTAAATAACTTGCTCCTGAATAACTCCTGAGTAAACACTGAAATTAAGGCAGAAATAAAAAAATTCTTTGAAATTAATGAAAATAGGGACACAACTTAGCAAAATCTCTGGGGTGCAGCCAACACATTGTTAAGAGGAAGGTTCATAGCTCTAAGTGCCTTCATCAAGAAGTTAGAAAGATTTCAAATTAACAGACTAGCTCTACACCTAAAGGAATTAGAAAAAAAGAGAATAAACTAGCCTCAAATCTAGCAGAAGGAAAGAAGAGCTAAATTAGAGAAGAGCTTAAAGAAATTGAGATGCAAAAATACAAACAAACATCGATGAAACCAAGAGTTGGTTGTTCAAAAAAAAAAAAAAAATTAAAAAAAAAGATTGATAGACTACTAGCTAGACTAACAAAGAAAAAGAGAAGATCCAAATAAGCATAACCAGAAATAACAGAGGCAATATTACAACTACAGAAATACAAAATACAAAAATACAGAGATACAAAAGATCCTCAGAGACTACTAGGAACAACTCTGGGATACAAATTAGAAAATCTAAAGGAAATGGATAAATTCGTGAAAGTGCACAATTTCCTGAGATTGAATTAGGAAGGTACTGAAACCCTGAGCAGACCAATATCGACTTCTGAAACTGAATGAGTAATAAACAACATACCAAGAAAAAAAAAGACCTGAACCAGATGGTTTCACAGCCAAATTCTGCCAGATGTGCAAAGAAGAACTGATACCAATCCTACTGAAACGATTCAAAAAAAAATTGAGGAGGGGCTCCTCACTCGTTGTATGAAGCCACAATCAGCCTGATACCAAAATCTGGGGAGTCACAACAGAGAAAAAAAAAGCTTCAGGCCAATATTACTGATGAACATAGATGTGAAAATTCTCAACGAAATTTTAGCAAACTATACCCAACAGCACATTGAAAAGTTCATACACCACAATCAAGTAGGAAATACATGCAAAATCAATAAATGTGATTCACCACATTTATTATTTTAATAATTTAATTTAAATTAAATTAAATTATTCACCACATTTTAATTTTAATAAATACAATTAAAAGCAAAATCTATATGATTATCTCAATAGATGTAGAAAAGCATGAGATAAAATGTAACATCTCTTAATGACAAAAACCCTTAACAGATTGGGTATTGAAGGAACATACCTCAAAATAATAACAGCCGTCTATGACAAACGCACAGCCAACCTTATACTGAATGGGCAAAAGTTCAAACCATTCCCCATGAAACCTGAAACAAGACAAAGATTCTGCACTCTCATCTTGTCTATTTAACATAGCATTGGAAGTCCTAGCCAGAGGAATCAAACAAGAG